ATCAACCAGGGACCATGAACGTTGTTTTAGTAACAGAAGGATTACCGAGTGTACCGTAAACCAGGAGTCTCAGCACGTCAAAGTCAAATAGGCACTGTTAAACCGACAAAGACAAGGAGACGAGACACAGAACGACCCAGAAGAGACACAAAACCATGACAGACAGACAAAAACAATGACAAGGAGACGCACAAGACCAACAGAGACACAAAACTATGGTAAAGAGACACAAAACAACCACAAAGAGACACAAAACAACCACAAAGAGACACAAAACAGCCACAAACAGACACAAACTGTGACAAAGAGACACAAAACGACCACAAACAGACACAAAATAAGACAATCATTGTGTGCATGTAGGTTCTGCTTCGTACATCAGCACGAGTGGCCACTTATTTGTGAAAGTCTTCTCTTCAGCTCAGAGTTCTCTCGCTGCAGGACGTTATTCTGAAAAAAGGAGAAAAAAAAGGAAGCAGCTGTTTAAAAACGCACCGATGGACATTGCGGACATTTTATTTTGTAGGAGCTGCTTCCTAAAGTTCATACGTGAAGGAAAACTAGGGAACGTTATTTAATGCACCTTGTGTCGGAGCGCCTCCACTATCAGGTCTCGTCCTCCTCTGGTGTTGTCCTTCTGTGAAGCTCTGAAGGCGTCTCCGATCACTGAGACCAGCACGTGGGACTGAAACAGGAAGCGAACATCTGGCTGACATCTTCTGGCTCTTCATTGGTTTTCCAACATCAACATCTACAGAGTGTGCAGTAAAAATACTCACAAACTTGTTGCTCTTGAACACGTAGCAGTGGTAGGTGTCGGCCGCGGGGTGTTTGGCCACGAAGCCGAACACTTTGGGCGAAGACGGCAGGACGGCGCTGAAGGAGATGGTGGACAGAGGACACGAGTACAGCAGGAACTGGGGACAGAAGAGGAGATAATTAAACATCCTTCAGATCCAGCACTTGGCAGACTTTTTATTCGCTCACCTTGGTTTTGTTTTCCAGGATGTCTATGCTGCTCGTAGACAGGAAGAGGTGGACTTTGCTCTTCTTCACCACCTTTTCTGAGGAGTAAGCGTCTGGTGTCTGGGAATCGGAGAAGGTTGGATTAATGGAGGGGAAGCTGGCAGGTAAAGAGTTCGTTAAAAAGGTGATTAAATACCACAAGGTTTACTGAAGGTGGTTTAGTTTCCCACCAGGATATGACAACTACCCAACAACCCAATCGGCAGTTTGTGGGGTAAGTTTAAGAACTACATCAACATAGTTTGGATTCTTAGTTTTTACCGCATTTATTTCGGGAAAACCTAAAAGTAGAACCTAAGATGACACGAGGAGGTTGAAACATCTTAACCAGCACACAGAAAACACAAACAGGATTCACCTACGAACATCTGCTCCAACGTCTTTTATAGCAAGTCTTTCCATAAACCCAGACATGTCAATTATGAATTATAATGGAGCTAGATGTTTAAATAAAAAGTAATCAGGGTTGATCATCCAGGGACCATGAACGTTGTACTAAATCTTGTGCCAATCCGTACAGTAGAAGGTGTTTTAGTAACAGAAGGATTACCGAGTGTACCGTAAACCAGGAGTCTCAGCACGTCAAAGTCAAATAGGCACCGTTAAACCGACAAAGACAAGAACACGAGACACAGAACGACCCAGAAGAGACACAAAACCATGACAGACAGACAAAAACAATGACAAGGAGACGCACAAGACCAACGGAGACACAAAACAACCTCAACACAACCCTGATAAAGAGACACAAAATGACAGGAAACAGCTACAAATGGACCAAAAAAATGACCACTAAGAGACAAAAATAATACATCTAAGACAAAACGCAAAATAACAACAAAGAGACACAGAACGGCAACACATCACTTGGGTTGTGTTTGGTTTATTTCCTGTTTTATTCTGAAAAAGACCCCTGTTGTTGTTTTACTTCCTCCCGTCGTCTCCTTTTCCCTCCTTTCTTGATTCCTGTAATTAGTCTCACCTGTGTCTTGTCTCCTCATTGGTCCTCTTTGACTTCCTGTTTGACTTCCTGTTTGACTTCCTGTTTACCTGCCTGATTTGCCTTCATCTGTTTTTGGTTTGCATAATTTTTTGTACTTTGGTACTTGTGTTTTGTCCATTTACATCGTTTTTATTTATTTTATTTACCTGTTTGCTTTCCTCGTGTTCCTCTTGCCCTTTTGGTTTTTCTCTGGATTGAATTTTTGTACTTTTGGATTTTATTTTATTTTTTATTCCCAGGATTTTATCAGCCGTCTCGCGTTTGCGCCCCACCCTTTTGTTACGTAAGTTTTGATTACAATTCGAGACACAAACCAACCAGGAAGTGACAAAAAAACAATTAGCATAATAAAATTGTGCTAATCAACTACATGAGCTTAAGCTGACCACAGAGAGCTGCAGTTTGAGTGTTTCAGGAATGCTTTCATGTCTGTGCCTGAAGGTTCGTTGTCCCCAAACCCCTCCTTGGTTTCGTACTACGAATGAAATGTGGAATACATCATTAAACAGTGAGTTCAGGGGGAAGCTTCTGCTCACCTTCAGGCTCTGAACGGCATCCTCAAGGATCCGTAGTCCATCAGAGCGGACCACCTCCACTCGGCCGAGAAACTACAGAGACAAGCGGAAGAAGGCTGTAAATACCCACCTCATCCTTTATCCAGGTAAACATCAGCCTTTACCTTTACTTGGAAGGAGATCTCACAGTCATCTTCTGAAGACACGCTCATCTTGAAGCCTCTTAGCAAGCTACAGCTGCAGTCTGAGGAACACAGATACGTAGAATTACAGCAGTGTTCAGATCAGATCATCCGAATGTAAGAAATACAGTAAATCTGATGTTACCTTCAGTGAATAAAGGAGGAACGGAGAGGATCGGCGTCTTCGTCGATTACAAAATGGGTGTAAAGTCTGTCACAGTTAATGAGTGACTGGTGCGTCTTCCTTATTGCTCTTCATCAGATATCCAGGCTGCCTGGAGGCTTCAGCGGCACGACGCATGGAAGTTATTTAAACATGTGGAGGCTTAAATAAATCAATAAATACATTATGAAAAGGTCTCAACAATCAATTTTTGGACAAAAAAGAGACACAAAACAATGACAAAGAGACAGACAACGACAACAAAGACACAAAAAATGTCAACAGATACACAAAATAACCACAAAGAGACAAAAAATTAAGACAAAGAAACGACCATAAAGTAACACAAATATGAAAAAGAGACAAAAACACAANGATCTGGTTGAAGACTTCTGGTGGATTTCTGAACATCATGTTTCAGACTGACTAGCATGCTGCTCACGCTATGTAGCAACATTAGCACACTGCTAGCTGCTTCCAGTGTTTACGCTCATGCTACCATCTCCTGTGGATGCATATACAGATAATAAGTGGGATTAAACTTGCCACCTTGCAGCCTTCTGATCTGTTTTGTAAAGTCAAAAATGTTTTTAGATATATATTACAGCTGAAACCAGAAGTTTACATCCACTGTATAAAAAGACATTAAAATCCTTTTTTTTCTCAGTCTGGCATTAAATCAGACGAAACTTTTCCTGTTGTCGGTCAGTTAGGATCAGAAATATGGTGCATAATAAGTGATATTTACAATAAAAAACAGCGCTAAGTGCAGTATAAAAACAGAGCTATTATTCTGCATACAGGAGGTTTTTTAGGTTTTATGCTCCGTCCAGTGTTTCATTCCTTCTTGGCTGAATTGTCAGAAGCAGCTCCTACAAAATAAAACGCTCAGCGGTGCATTTTTAAACAGCTGCCTCCTTTCCTTCCTTCTTTTTCAGACTGAAACAGAGGATGCTGACGCAATATTTCACCTTTTCTCTGTTTGTTTACTGAACCACAGTAATAAAGAAAACTGTCCCGATCAGACGTTGAAGCTCTCCGTTGATGTTTATTGTCATTTATGTCATTTCACAGTTTATGAAGTCTGATCTGCAGCGTTTAAATCTTTCTCTGACACGTCCAGGCTTTTATTTCAGACACTTTTCTGTTTTAGAGTCTCGCTGCAGGACACTCGCAGCAAACACATCACTGTAAATACATCCCATAACTTCATAAAGGCCACTCATTAAATGAACCACGGCAGGCTGGCAGCAGGCCGCCGAGTTAAACTGAAACCACACTTTATTGTTTTACTGTCAGTGTTTCATCAGATACACAAACAGCAGCTCAGACCGTTATTAGTTATGGATCTGGTGTTTTGTGTTCTTTTTTCTGGACTATTTAAAGGCTGGTACATGTATGAAAGTGAACATTTCTACCAGGAACATCTGCACATAAACACTCACTGTGATGCTAATGTGGGAAACAGATCACAGTGAGCAACTTTTATATTGATTTTACTGTTAAATGGCTTGAAAACGGTGCAGTTAGGGTTAAAAATGTAAAGATTTCTGGGCTCAAGATGCCAAAAAATGCATCTGGTGTTTTAGTATTTTTAAAGAAATGCAACAAACGGATTAATTTTGTGGTTTCTAGTTAATGAATATGATTAAACTAACTGTAACCGCAGCCTCCTGAAGCCACGTTTAGTTGATTTATTGTCGTTAGATAATCCACCGTCAGCCTTTGGACACAACGTTCAGGGTTTTATCAGCGACACAGGTGGCAGGTTGTGCTGTGATTATTACTTATATGCTGTTTATTTATTTTGTATTGCGGGTGAACTTTTTCTCCTCTGCAGCTGTTTAAAGGCTCAGCTGGTGAATAACAGGCACTAAAACAAACATTTCTAAAGTAAATAGTGAATCTACTGGTGACATAAGCACAGAACAAGGACTAAACATTGAAAGAAAGGGGGTTATTTATTTTTGCTTATTTCTATCTTTATGTAAATTTATTTCTTGTGTGTTTTATTCTTTATTCTTATTGTTTCGGTGTGGAACAAAACACATTTCCCTGCACGTTATATTGTGCTAGTGACCAATAAAGGCCTTGAATCTGAACTCTTGGATGAAAGTTTGTCACATTTATATTAATTTTATTTTGAAATCCCTCTAGAACAGGCTGGAACGACCCAGTTTGTTCATATAAATCCACTGTATGTGATCTTACACGTTATGAACAGAGGATTCAACAACCCAGAGCTGCGTTTGGATCCCTGATGAGTAAACGATGGAAGAACCAAAATAAAACTAAAAAACAAACCCAAATAGAGAGAGAGGGGGGAGAGCAAACACCTGAGGCCGAGCCGGGCTGAGGGAAGGCGGCCTCCTGCCTCCACAGGTTGTCCTGAGACAACAGCAGCTCTGGATCTACACATCAGGACTTCTTAAAGTACTTTTTAAATTGTGGATTTATTGTGTTTTAGCTTCACTAAAGTGGGTTTAAGTTCTAAAACCAGAGTTTCACACCGACTGGTTTGGTGTTTGAACGCAGCAGCAGCAGGTGTGCCTCCTCACCTGAAGGTATCCGCCCGGTGCCCTGACACGTCGGGCACGTTATGCTGTCCTTCCCGGTGAACTCCACGTACGGGAACCGGGCGATGTCCTCCCGCCGACCGAGCCCGTCCAGGGAGTCGTTGTCGGAGTCTCTGTCCTCCGCCTGGCCGTCGGAGCGCTGCCTGTCCGGGAGGAGCGACATGCGGCTGCCGCTGCGAGACAACCGCGTCCCCATGGAGGCTCTCGCCCCCCGGTGGGGTCGCTTCGAGCCGCCGGGTCGCTACTGTCCGTTACCGGCCAGGTGAGCCATGGAGGCGGAAAGAGCCGAACGGAGGAACGGAGCGGCCGAGATTCAGTAAACAGACGAGCCGTCGCCCCGTTAGCCGCTCAGCTAGCAGCGCGGCTGCACAACTTAGCCGTCCGGTGGCGGTTCAAACCCACTGCGAGCCTTAACTAGCTTCACTAACTACACTTTAACTAGCTGTCAGACTAAACTAGTGCGAGTTGCCGCTAAAACAAAAGTCTCGTTTCCTCCAGAAACTTCGGGCTCGCTGGTGTCTGTCACAGCCTGGTTTACACTGAGGCTGCGCTGCCTTCAGGGACGCTCCGTACATCTGCCCACCTCATAGTCAGGTTGCATTCAGGTGCTTTGTCTTATTGTAGAAGTCAACAGCAGTTATTCTACCTTTAGCTGCTGACTGTAAATACATAACTACTTCTTAAAATGACACCAAAGCCCTTATGTTTGATATTTAGGACTTTATATTGCTTTTTAATGTACGTGCAACAATTAGGTTCAATATTTCCGACGCTAAAGGCGACTTTTAATGTGGCGTAAAGCTCGCTGCTGCCCTCTGGTGTCATAGTTTGGATACAACCATAAACTGCAATATATATAATATAATATAATATCATATAATGGAGTAGTGAAAGTGCCAAATTACAAAAATAAAT